TGATGGGCATTGTGAAGTCAGCGAGAAGGAAAATTCAATGAATAGGTTTGCGTAAATCAACGTTCAGATAGACGCATTTCCTGCCAAAGGTTCCAATTGGTTTTCCATCTGCAGCCTGCAAGTTGAAGGTGGCTTCCTTCTGTCGATCTGCTGCTATAGCAAGAAGGACGCCAACGCCAGCCGGTGGGATAGTTTCCCAGTCTTTGAGAAGTTGCCGAAATTACAAGGTTTTCGGCAACATTTCACTTCGCGGCCATAGGGTATTTCAGTGAATGTGGCTTTGATTTAGACTGGCCATGTGAGTTTCGCCGTTGAGGGTAGTTCACAAGACGATTGGAGGTATTACAAGGTATGTTTGACCTAAGCATCTGCTGGACGGAGTTGCATAATTCTATCACTGCAGTGCCCCTACTCTAAGTCTGTTCGGTAACTGAGCATATTTCAGTAACCGGCCGTTTTGTTATTTCTAAAATGTTACCTGCAGAAACAGCTAAGTCATCTAAAATAACACCCTGAAGTGTCACCAGCACAGCCTGTACTGACTGGGGCAGTTTGGATGAGAACAGTTATCTGAAAAGTCCTTCATCGGACTGACGTTGGCCCATAGCTTCCCTCATTCTTGTTAGCATGCTCGCAGCTGAATGTTCACCAAACTCCACGTTGCGAAATAGTTCATCGAGACGCTGTCGGTCCATGAGAACGTTTCTCCTTAGGAGGGGTGCTTTAAGCAACTCACATTAGTTACTTAACTCTGAGCTCGATATATGCACAGTTACGCATTCTCTGAATTCCCGCGGCAGGGCGTGGACAACTGCAAGGAACTGTGAACGTTGACCAGTTGACCCATGTTCGCTAAAATCAGACTCAGCTATCTGAAACCATGATTCACCATTATCTGGCCAAAATGGTGCGAGCTGAAAAGTTTTGGCATTTTAGTGTATACAAATGAACTTAGGAGTATGATCAGTCACTTCGAAATGTATGTAGTCTGAAAATAGTACAGGAACAAATACAAAATGGAACGAACTCACCGGATTTGCCTGTATATTTACCAAAGACGAAGTTCGCGGTAGGGCTCACCAATTTAGAGGCTGAAAGTATTGACGTTCACGGATAGTACGAAGTATAATAACGCAAGATCTAATATCCACAACTTCTATAGTATTCCTTCCGCGTAGACCAAAGGCAAAGCAAAATACAAAAATTGGCCGTCCAGATTACGAGTTATGTTTCGGGACCGAATCGGAGTGCGAGACGATTGCCCAACTAGCTAGGGATCGTGCACGAACGAACGAACGTGACCTGAAGGCGTACCAAATGGCGTGGGTGCGTGACCGGAAGCCTTCTGCTAAACAAATTGACTTAAACAGTGAGGGTCAGCATCCAATACTCAGTGGTGAATGCTGTGGCCAATAATATTGGGGAATTACCTACCACGACAGGCCTATTTTATTTAGTAGTGAAGTTGAGAAGCAAGTGAAGCAGATGTTATAAGACAGTGTTATTGCTGAAGCTGACAGGCGTATGACTCTGCAATCCTCCTAGTATATAGGGGGGCGGGAGTTGGAAATTCTGTTTTGACTTGCGAGAGCTAAATAGCAAAGCAGAACTCAGAGCCGGTGCCACGCCGACTGCAACAGAAACCTTGGATTGCCTACATAACCATTTCGTTTTAGAGTCACTACTCGACTTTCATTTACTGGTCTAGCCGACCTCAGTTCCTGGCCACTGAGATATTGCCAGGATTCCATCAGCCTATGTAGCAAAGTCATCGGTGGTGACTCCTTGAAGCGTCACACTTATAGTCTGGAATAGTTGCAGTAACTTGGACAAGTACGACTCTCTAAAGAATTCCTGGTCTTATCTCCTGTGACTGGTGAATTCGCGAGTTTGTGAAACCATGTATACAGCTGAACCATTTCCAACCTCGACGCGTTCTAAGAGTTCGTCAAGACTTGGACATTCTGAGGGAAGGTTTCCCTACTGAATGACTGATTTGAACGCTTCAAAGGAATCACTTAATTCTGGGGCGAATATGTGTGCGACAACACATTTTCTGAAATCCTGAGATAGCGCACTATAAAAGCAAGGAATTGTAAACGTAGATTAGTTACATCACATTCATGGAAATCCACTTCAGCGTGCGGAAACAATGTTTCTACATTGTCTGGTTAGAAGAGCACGATCTGAATGGGAATGCGTATAAGTTTGCGTGTCTGATAGGACATCATAAAAACGGTCTAAGTAAAAATATAGTGAAGATAACTAATGAAGAAGTGAAAAAACGAAGAACTCATTGAAGCAGAGTGGAGTGTGCATGCTCAAAAGTTTAGAAAACGAAGCCCGTTAATGGGCTCACCAGTTTAGGGGAAGACGGAATGTCGATGGTTGCGCAAGATATGCTGCACATTGACGAAAGTTCCTATCCGTAACCCCAAAGTACTTGTTCTGTTAAGACAAAAGAAAAGTAAAAACACCATATCGATAGTCTAAAATAAGAGATTTATTTCGGAGTCGGAAACATAGCGATGACGATTGCTTACTTTGCTTGGGATCATGCACAAACGACTGGAAGCAAACTGACGTGGGCGCTTGACAGTGTACCTCTATCAGGTTGACTTAGACGGGGAAGATCAGCATCCAATGTAAACTGGTTATTTTGTAAAGTGGTGTCTCACTGCCTGTTAAGTTTGAAATTACTTAATTTATATATGTTGGCTTGTTTGTATTTTTGTACTCAATTCTAATTTTTCAGAAGTACTCAGACTTTATTTTAGCTGTTCTTTTAGTATGTCTCATTTTTAGGGATAATTTCGAAGTGTGTAGAAATATTAAGTGAATTATGAGGTACTCGGGAGCCCATTAATTCCTGAGTTAGTTTAACCTTATGATGTTTTTGTATTTCCCGCAATCCTTAGAAACGCTAAAAAACTACCTGAAGAAAAATAACCCCATTTAATTCATGATTCTCAAATCAGTCTTCTTGTGTTAATTTACGCAAGCATTAATATATTAGATAGTTTCAGTGTTGCTTCCGGGGTTTCCTAGGAATTATTTTTATATAGATCTAATTTGATGGCTTGTTATGCGGAATTGTGTGAAAAGCTAACAACATAGACTTCCTTTGTACCACACACTCACTTTTATTCTCATTATTTTTCGTCTTCTTGGAGGTTTGCTTCTTCACTGGCAAAATTGGAATGTTGAAACACTCGAAACCTATGTTAAAATTTAATTTATTTTTTATATTTAGCGTCATCTTACGAATGTAAATTTAACCATAAAAAACTTTTAACAATATAAATGATTAAATTAATACTGGTTTATCTAAAGGTAATTATTAAATTTAAAGTTGAAGTCGCTGCCGCACACCCAGTTGCTTCGGTCGTGTTGCCCACTAACCTTGTCTGATTGGTTGGCCTGTCGCTACTTTCGGTTGAGTGGTCTTAGGCATGTTCGATGTGATTGTAATAGGTGCGGGTATTTCTGGATTGGCAGCAGCCCACCTTCTTACTCGTGAATCTCATAATGTTTTGGTGTTGGAGGCACGTAATCGTCCAGGTGGCCGAATACACAGTGTACGTTTACCGTCACTATCATGTGAGTGAGGTTTTTTATTGCTTTCAAGAAGTAATTTAAAAGTTAATACACGTGTTAAAATCTTTATTGGTTATATTATGATTGATAAATACTAATTATAATTGCATACATAGGGCAAAAAAACGCTTCACCTATTATTTGCATTAAAACGGCATATTCACTACACGTGTGCGTGAATTACGCATGCAGCCCAATTTTTCGTTGAATAGCCATTTTCTTAGCTCGAGATAAGATCTGAATTCGACAGTAGTCGTGTAACTACTTAGTAGTTTGGTCAGAATTAAGTTCATCTGTAATTAAAATACAGGAAATCATAATTGCCATTTGATTTTGTCATTGTTAAAATCAAGCATGTAACCATGTTGTAAACAAAAGTATTACTTTATTGACTTGTTTGCTTATTAACTGCCTGGTTTAGCTTATGATATCTAAAATCCCACGATATATAAGGACTACTTTCTATTTCCTCATTAACTTTATTGCAAAATTGAGCTTTCTATGTAACGGGATTTGAAAATAATCGTTGATAAGTACTGATGGTTGTGAAGAAAAGATTGCAAATTAAAATTTCGACTTTAATGTTCAATTCAAAAACGAATTAGTCAGACAGATGGTCTGGTTCAGGTCTCATGTGACGACTCATTCATTTCAAATCAGCTATTTTAAACTGCTACTTCGATTAAATTAATGGCAAACCTGGCTGTCGTAAATATCACTTATAGCTCACAAGCTTTTCTGAAAGTTTATGATGTAAGTTTCATTTTGGTTGCTGTTAATGTAAACGGGCTTCGACATCAAAAGTTTGCTAGAATAAAGGTTGTGTTGAGTTTTTGGAAAGGACTTGTTTATACCACTCTTGAATAGAAGCGTTATTCCCAGTATAACTGGTGGTGTGATTTCGCCCCAAAGTCAAATTATTCTATATTAATTTGACCATGAAATAATCAGTTTTAGTCTTGGTATCCTTCAGTCCAACTTTTGGACCACATGTAATTTTGTGCGCCAAATGATGCAACTTTTTGTATGAAGGCTAGATTTATTTTCTGGTTGCTTAAACCTCGGTGGCCAGAAGGACGTCGTATAGTCAGGCTGAATAATTAGAAGAATTAACCACAATGTATTTCTGAAGTCTAAGGATGTAGCTAATGCATTTCGCTTAGATTATGTAAGGGACTGGACATGTTGCGTATGCCGAGACTCTGCTGATATGATTAAATTGGAAAACAGTTAGGGATGGTCACACTGAAACCTGGTATCAGTCCATTAAATCTTTGACGGTTGGTTTGAGCCACGTTAGGAGATGTATACTACCTGGTTGAGGTCCTCGGGACTCTCAGGTCTAACGACTGGAGACTATTGGTGATGTAGCTAGAAACTGTTCTCAGTGGCGCAGGTGCACTGATCTTTTTCAATCTTCCATATCCACTAAACTCTCCCGTTTCTTCATGTTACTGTACTTTCTCCCGTACATTCCTGCTAGTCTCAGCTCTTTTGAATTTCTGTTTTCTACTTTTGTATGCTCTATGGTTTGTACAACTTGAATTACGGCACTTCTGTGCAAATTTTTGTGTTGAGACTCAGTCAAATGATGGGTTATGTAAGATATAAGCCATATTACATTATGAAGTATACAGTTAGCTGCTCGCTATGATTATGTTCATTTATTTGGTCATTAACAACTTGTACATGTTTTCTACATCAAAATTGTTGCACAATTAGGTTATATCGTTGTTGTTTATTACTGGAAAGGATCTCGCAAGCCTTGAGACAGCTAGTAGTTCTAGAAGAAATTCTAAGATGAGATAATTTACACCCACTTCACTCAATTTATTTATGGTACGGCGGTGAGTATTCAGTTCCCATGTATTATTGTATTTATGAGTTACTTTCAGGAGTTATATCTCACATTTTAGGTTGCCTTTAAGCTAAACTTCACAGTTAATGCTTTGACTTGAAAAGAACGTGGTCAAGTTTTGAGCCAGTAGATGGCGGTGTTTTCTGAGAAACATTTCCATTCTTGAATTAGCTTCCCGTGAAAATATATGCTCCTCCTCAGGAATTAACCTTAGGTACACTTTAGAATGTATAACTAAAGCTCAAATCAGTCCTAGTTAAAAAAATCGTTAACTCACAGTCAGATATTTACTGCTGATTTCTAGTTATGTTGATGTTATTCATCTGCTGGCTGTAACAATTATAATTTTGACGGTCTAAACAGTTAATTAGCCCTTATCATCATTTGACCACGCTTTGGACTTCCGAGAATGACATGCAGGAGATTGTGCGAGGATAAGATAAAAGCTTATGGGCAATCGTGGGGCCGGCTGAAGAAGATTACAGAGAAGAGGATGAAATGGAGATGTGCAGTTGAAGCCCTATGTTCCACTTAGAACCTAAGGGAATAATAATATAATAACACTATAAGACCATGCATTAGTACCTAATACTTTAATTTATCCCTCGTATCAGTCGTCTTATTGGGTTGTATATTAGTCGAATCTGCAGGTTCATTTCTGTTTTGCTTATGCTCTGGTAGCTGAGTAGTGTCGTCTGATACAATAATTGTGACTTTCAATCTGCCACGTGTACCTACACTAGTTTTTACTCAATTATTCAAAATTAATCAGTAATGGAAGAGTTTATATTCACAGAAAATCTTCCGTATATGGACCTACTTTTGGTTGGATTAATTAATACAGCGTCCTTTAACCTGAAGATGCATATTAGTTATTACGTCATTCTGGCTAGAAATATGTGAAAAAACTACATTTACAGAAAGATTTTATCCAGTTTATGTGTTCTTAGTTAACTTCAAAGTATTCACTACCATCCTAGTGAAATTTTAAGTGGTGGCATATAGAAGATAATGCTTTGTTCAAACTTAGATGATGCCACTTTGCTAGAATATAGAACAAAATGTATTTCTGATTAAAAATTGGGGAATGAATTAGGATATAGTGTCTCTAAGAACAGTAAAAACATTCTGATCTGAAGTGTGCCAAGACTTCAGGTCTCCTGTAGGCGCCTTACGAAAGCAACAGTTTTAAGATTTAGGAGTAGCATGTTTGTGAACTGTATTTACTGTTGTACTGGCTAGACAATTAACGGAACATAGTGGAGGTGTCGATCATTGATAAAAGTATTTGGTTTGAAGACAGCGGCCTTCGACTATTCCGCTTACTTCATCGTGTGCATCTCTATGATATCTCAAACCCTCTCATATAAACCGAGTTATAGTGTGGTGAGTTACATTAGCATTGTGAATGCAATAGTAATTCACATTTCCAGTCGCCTTAGATTCTTCTCTAGCTCTTTGTAATAACATTGACAAGTCAAGAACGGATAATGGGTGTTTGAAGGCTTATCGCCTCTGGATTCGAGATAGCTTTCAAATCAGACAAGTTTCTACTTTAATTTCAATTCAAGAAATAGTTCAGTTGACTTCAGACTATCATTTAAAAGCTTTGAAAATTTCCCCCAAGTAGAAAACTGACTTTCTGAGGTCGGGAGACAAAAGAAAAGTCAAAGCGTGCTTATTCCCTGTCTGTGTGTATCTGTAGAGATGGTGATTTGGGGTTCGGCTTCAAATTATGGTTTTTCTGTGGTTTACTCGAGCTGATTTGGTCATTCTCTTCATTTCTATTCACCTCTGTCATTTATGTACATTCATCCTATTTAGAGATTTCTAAACTTACGAACTGTAAAAAGACTGCATAATCCTACTAAGCAAAGATGCTGACAGCAAGAGGTTTTCGAAATGACACAAGTCTGTTATTGAGAATAGTGAGAAATGTTCAGAAAACAATACACAATGTCCAAAAGTATTGGAACCTAGTCTTGGGCAGCACGAATATGGAGTGTAAGCAACTTGAACAAGCTAACTGGTTGATAAAACTATAAGCCTTCGGGAATTAAGATGGCAAGGATATGCAATCACACATTTCTTGCAGTACTAGTTAGAGTAGCACTGAATTAAGATAAACCTCAGGATAAAATTAAACACTGACACTATTCCATAGAAGATTTGACCATGGGTCTGCGTAGCTTTTGTATTTATTGGCTTCCGGGTATACTTCTGAAGTCAGAAGTAGGTGAATTTGTGGTTGGTCAACCAGTGCTAGAATTTCATTCATTTTTATCTACTGTCTACTTCAAACCAATATTTAAAAAGTAGTTGGATTAGGTTGAAGGAGAAAAATCGATAGCCAAGTGAAACATAAGACGTATATATAACTTTTGTTATGAGCTGTTTCGTGAATGCACGTTGTTTGCTTAAAGTCGGCGTTGCAAGTGAGTTCTAACTGGAGATTGTAAGTCATATGGTTCGTAATCGAACTAAGTAGCACAGATGCATTCATACGTTATCTTCATCTTAATTGCATTATTACGCTTAATGTACTACATTTTTTCTTGTATCTTGTAATATATAAAGACTATTATTCTTACAATTTTCACTCTTTTGTGTCCTTTTGTATTACCTTACATTTGGTTCGCAGATATAATATGAGACAAACTGGACTACTATGCAAAAATGCTATTTACTATGTTTGTACAGTCTCTCTGTCAGTTTAGAGTTTAACTCCATTGACAGTTTTTTAAGGTAACCACTCAGCATGATTAGCTGTTGCACAATGTGTTTAATTGTTCAGTATACAAGTTTGTACGTGGTTTTATTATTTTATTTTGTATGGATAATACTTATTCCCATCATTTTATACTGAATAAGTCGACAATTCTTATTTATAGTGGTTACCTTCGTCTAAAAAAACGGATTGGTTATTTATCGTGGAGTTGTTGAAAGTACTACATCGGGATTAGTTGACCAGCCATACAACTTCTGTGTCACATACTGCAGTAGATAACCATCTAGATATTTAAATTCATAGACAGATTGGCTGCTATTCTTGCGACATTGATGTTCACCGCGGGATCCATTACATTGTTCATGAGTTATTCATGCTTTATGGTAGCTTTATTACATTTTGATGGAGAGATTACAAAGTAATTAACGTTTTTTCTTGGCATTCTTTCTTCGAGAATTCTCGAGTAAGGAGGCTAGCTTAAAGAAACCTCACTTTTTTGAAGTAATGTTTTGTTTTCATACGTTTAAATTTAGGAAAACTAATCACCAAGTTTCCAAGTTCCTAAGTGATAAACTATGTGGAAATGGCTGGTTACAGTTCCACAAGTCATCTATTTCTTATACTTAACAACAATATGAAAAATAGCCAAGTCAATGGATTCTCATGTTTCATTCATTTTATTATTTTCTCTACGTAGCATCCATATCTGATACTGAATCAAGTATCAATCATGATAACCTTAGTATTCATCATTTCAACATTGTTGAAAAGAAAACCAATACCTCAGCTCATGACTTTTCCGATTCTGATAGTAGCTGTATGTCATCATCGCGTTCCTTTATTTCTGATCAACAATCAACTGATCATTTCCTGGATGAAATCAATGCAGACTTCTCTGGTCCAATTGATGTTGATCTTGGGGCTAACTATTTGATTGGATGTTCAAATCGACAAGCTGAACAACCTTTGTTTCATTTAGCAAGTATGCTAAAAATACCTACTGCTGTCACTGCTGGAGATTTATGTAAAAAGTATCGGGGTTGGGAGTGTGTGGAAGTTGCTGAATGGCTTAATCATTATTCACCACAGTGTCCAATAACTGCTAATCAAGTAGCTGAGGGCGTATTCCTTTTTGATAGGGTTACTCATCTTACTGTTGATCGTTACTTGGAAATGAAGTCTAAAGCGCAGAATTTAGACCCTAATATGTCAGTCAAGGTAAGTACTTCTATGATTTTATAATCTGTTTCATTTAAAATCCCCACATTAAGTAATCTAATGAGATATATATTCGTTAAATATAGCTAAAATTAGCATATTCTAACATTCGGCATACTTCGTACTCAATAAGTTAGTGGGATCAATAAGCGATAATGAGAAGCGTAAATTTGTGTTAAAAGTAATTTTCTCTATTATTTTTAAGTAAAATTGAAAGCATTATGACATACTACTATTGGAATTTAGTATTTTCGATTCATCAGACTTTAATTAGAAATCATGACAACTAATACACTTAATTTGTGACCATTTAGTGACCACTGTAAATATAACTTTATTCGTTGGTCAGTTGGCGAAGTTTCCAAGTTGCATTGAATTCAGGAACTAAAGGTATGATTAAATGTGTTATAAAACTCTGAGTATAACCAAACCTGCACATGGCACCACTTCATAGGTAGGTACAAATGGCTTTTAGTGTGGGTCTCCTAGCCTGATTTCATGAGATGATAGAAAATTACCGACTAGATATTGACACTGAGTAACTGCTCAAAATTAAGCAGTCAGTTAAACAAGTTGTCGTAAATACTCACTATAAAGTGTTGCAACTGAGTTAATATACTTTAGAAAACATTAAAAACTTTATCTGATTAGCTGTTATGCTATATGGCTCTATGTGGTCCTTCGTGCTTGGAATTATGGAAGCGTAAGTTGGACAAAAGTCGCAAAGGAGGATTGCTAAAAGACTTTTGTCTGGCTAAAAACACTTTCACAAAGTAATCCTGTCTTTTTTTTAGTAATGTTATATTCCTGTCACCTTAGAATGGGATATCTTTACCCTTTTTTTTCTTTCCCAGGAACTTTACGATCAAGCACTGCAGGATTTATTTGACGTGGAAGTTCAATTAGGATATCGATCTAGTGCAGCTTTCCGCGATCCGGTTGAAGAAGGCATTTTCCAGTCTATAGTTAGCCGTTATTTGGCATACGTTAACCCCATGGAACGTCTTCCATTGTGTATCTTAGACGACTTGTGCGAAGTGACTGATTCGAAGTGGCAATCGAATGTTTTCGGTGAAAAATCCAATAGGTCTAAGTATAAGACAATTCCATCATCTTTAGCACTTCAACTTGTACAGACATATCCTACAGCCGACCAAAGAAGAGCCTATCATGCTTGGGCGGAACGAAAATTGGATGCTTTAAGAGATAATGAAAAAGCTTCTCTCCCATCAGTTACTAAAACTGTATGCGTTAGCTGGGAAGATCGTTTAGTAACTAGCCGATTCGGTGATGTATTGAATCCGTTACTGAAAGGTGTAAATGTCATATACAATGCTGTGGTAACTGAAATTGATTGGAGCAAAACCTTTAATACTGAAAAACATAAGGTGATAGTCAAAGCTAAAGTTCGACGACAATGCCAGTCGACTGAAAATCAGAATGATTCTACAGTTCAAAGCATTGATGAAGAAGAACAGATTTATGAAGCTAAACACTGTATTATTACTGTTCCAGTCGGTGTATTAAAAGGTAAGTTATATTAATCAGAATATACTGCTTACAACTTAAAATGTCTAGCGGCATATTCAGCGTGTAAAATATTTACATACAAAAATCACTTTCACTTCCATTAATACGCATATACAGTGTTTTTCTTGAACTCGGTGACTCGCATCAAGCTGAATTGCATTTATTGTGTTTGGACTGATGATATTACCCAGTCGGCCAAGTTCTAAATATGTGGAGTGAAATTTGAACCTGGGAAAGGATAAGGGCATGTTTTGTCTAATCTGTTGGTACTATGATTAAAGTTATTGGAGTGTACAGAAAACCCACTAATAAGTAGGTGATTGCGGCATTGAGTATCATGGAATCAATTTCACTTAGAGTGCAGATATTGTTTACTAAAAATTGTTGTGATATATTGAACTCTGGATTTAGAATTTCTTGTAAATTAACTCTGTAAAACTTTTCATAACCATTCGACTCTTTCCGGTTGTTTCCAGTTTACTTCTATATATTGATACCTAACTTTTCACCTTTGGGTAACAAGTTTTCTGGTTTTATCAGATGCAGACTGACAACAAATAATTCATTTTCAGTCGTTTTTACACAATAGTTTAGTATTCAAATGTTGGTTTGCAGGGATATGAATGGTTACAAGATTTCACCATGAGCTGACATCAATCAGCGAACCATTGGAAAACCTGGGAGTACTGGGCAGCTGTTTCGTCCTAGTTTGGGACTTTTCACCAGCATTCAGCACCCATCGGGGTTCGAACCCAGAGCGTTCTGGTTACAAGGTGAGCTCGTAGACTGTTAAGCCACTGGGATCCTACACAATGTCCCATGAATTTCAACTCTTGCTAATTCATGGGTCATTGGATCGATTTCAAGTGCTTTAATAGTCTACGAGCTCGCCTTGCAACCAGAACGCCCTGGGTTCGAATCCCGGTGGGTGCTGCATGCTGGTGAAAAGTCCCAAACTAGGACGAAACAGCTGCCCAGTACTCCCAGGTTTTCCAATGGTTCTCTGATTGATGTCAGCTCATGATGAAATCCTGTAAACAGTAGTTTAGTTTTAAAGAGAGAGAATTATCACTGCGTACTATCCTAAATGGATGATTGAACAGTTAGTAGTGTACTAGTGTTCAGTCAAATTTCATGTCATTTACTACATCAAGGGACAGGCTATAAGAGAGTATGTGTAATATGGTAAATAATTTAATATGATAAAGATATGTAGTTATTACGTTGTTCCACTAACCACTTTCACCCTTGTTTTGTAATTGATTTCATTGAGATGTGTATTAATTTTCAATCAAAATTAGCTTAGCTTATATCATTCACTCCATAGCTGAATAACTGTAGAGGAGTGGATTCTCAACCAAATGTTCATGAAGTATATGCAGGTTATTACCGTCACCTGGCCACATAACTTCGATTTTGTTTTCCAAGTTAATTTGGAGCATGTTTAGTTTACTTGAATTCCAGTATTTGTTTTTACTTGAACATTTTTAATCTCACCGTGTTTTCAAGGTCTTTGTCCTAGTTCAGCTATCACCTTTCATCCTCAAATACCAATCGAGAAACGGAAGTCTATTGAACGCTTAGGAATGCCGTGTAAAGGTTCAGCTACACATGAAAAAGTTATTCTACGTTTTAAGTGTCCTGAGGATGTTTTCTGGGATACTCGTGCAGCTCTTCTCAAGTGTCCTGATCCTCGTTTGCATATTCTTAATTTACATCGCTACGGTAAGCCAACTTTCTACTTTTTTCGATAAACATCGATTAGATATAGTAGTTATGATGTTTTGAATTTTATTACAGCAACGGTGATCCCATCTTCTAAATATGCCTCTCTATGAAGCATATTTGGTAAGAAGGTACTAACTAGAAGTTCGAAGTCAATCACATTTCATCATTATAGGATTGTAATTTGAACTCTTCACCATTTACTCAGGTTCGACTGTCAAGTACCATCAACTGTCAGGCATTTGATATGCCTCTAAGTAAATGAACAGGTGCTTATTTAGAAAGGGTTAAGGGTGATCAGACCTATACCTGGCGCTAGTTCGCCAAGACACTGAAAGTTGGTTACAGGTTTGACTGCGAGCTGGCATAATTTAGAGGACCACTGGAAAACCATAGCGTAACCGCCAGATAATGTCTCTTACCTGACTTGGTAGATCCTGCTGGTTGCGACTTCTCACTACATTAATGGTCTGAACCACGTTTGAAAGTGTAAACTGCCGGGCTTTGGTCATCAGTTCGTTGGGAGCCATTGTTTTCAGGCTCTTGTGTTGACATGACTATTTTCGTGTATAATATCACTGATGTATTTACTTCTTGTAATCTGCTTTCCGAAAATGCTCACTATTATTCATGTAATTATTCTCGACTTCAGAGAAATTTAGGGATGGTGGCGACAGTTAGGAGCTAATTACGGTGCCATTTTTGTTTTTCGGAGATTGTCCCACTTATCGTTTACCTCTTGACACCTGTTTCGCTGGTAGGTGTTAGATAGTTGTTTGGTGTCACCTTTCGGCAATACCTTTCCCATCGCCTTCGCTTTTGTCGCCTACCACTGTTCACCGTCCTTGCGAAGGCTTTTTGTCGGTTTGCGTTCGAGCAGGTCTCGCTCCTGATCATATTCGGAGCTCGCCGTAATCAGTCTTCTTGCGTTTGTCAGTTCAGCTGAAGTAGCAGAAATCCACTAGCTTTTACTAATTTTTGGTTTTAGGTTATTAATAGCCTTTACAGCTGTGTCTACAACTAACTGTCTATTGTTCCAGGCTTCCTCTAGGAGTCTTGCTGTCGATCTCAGATACGCGTTTCGCTATTTCTTCCTTAAATAGGGACTTAGAGTCTCGAACTAGTTGGGGGTGTAACTGCTTCACTGCTAACAATTGTTTATGTCCGTTTAGTCGTAAGCATAAACGTGTGCGGACCAGAGCGTGGTCGGAGTCTATGCACATGTTCCAAAAGGAGCGTCAGTCTTCTGCTGACCCTCGCCAACGATACCCTATCGCTATGTGGTCTATCTGAGTCCAGCGTTGACTTGGTGATGGAGGTCGCCAGAGTGCTCAGTGTCTGTCTGTGGCTGAGGTTACTGCAGACTAGGAACATATCATTATCTGAGCAGAACTGTAGAAGATGATCACCGTTGTTGGTTCCTTGGCAGGGAACTTCATACGTGCCACCTACATACTTCTCAGTCTGGCACAACTTCCCTACTTGGGTATTGAAGTCGCCTGCTAAAACAACTATATCTGAACGTTTTGCCTTTTGCAGCAAATTAGACAGTTTCAGGTAGAAATCATCCTTTAGTTCATCTGAACTGCAGTCTGTTGGGGCGTAAGCGGAGAATACTAAAAGACAACGATGGGTAACGCCATCCTTCCTTCTTCTAACGGACCCGTTCAGACGAACCGCACACATACGACTATATACCGGGACAAGTCTAGAAGGGATTTTTTTCTGCCCTAATTAGCTGAGGGGTCTCCTGACACCATTAAAGTGAATTTTGCAGATTCATCTTGTTGGCTGGGTGTGGTTAAGGGAATAACTGCTGTTGGGTCTTGTACGCGTGTCTTTGAAACGCAAATACACCCATGGCTCGAGATGCCAGAGTTCTGGCTAGTGATGTCTGTCGTCCAGTTTGATAAAATGTTTTAACATAGGATTTGCCAATACAAAGTTGGCGGTGTGGCTTTAAGAGACTATCTGGAGTGTTTTACTGATTGTCTTCACTATTTATGGTCACAGAATAAAAGGAAGATGACTTACCAGCCTTCATTATAGTATTACCAGTAGTAGGAAAAGATGATGAGGGTGACGTGGATTATGAAGAATGATGACCAGGAGGGCTTCATGTGCTTTTGGAAGTGTGTGGGCGGTTGTTACTTACCGGCTGCTGACACCGCAGAGAGCAGGAGACAGCTGCTTAAGGCCGGTCACACGTGGCCTGTTTGAACTGACTTTTAGGTTTAATTCTGTATTATTAACCACTGACTACGGACCACCGGAGGGTAAGTCGGGATGTACCATTTTTGGGGTTGACCTTACCTAACCTTCTCTCTTTATTTAACGGAGAGACAGTATAGCTGACATGCTGGTCATCTAAGACAAACACCTTACTGCTGTTACATCACTGTTCGCCTGCAATAGGAATTTGCCCACAGGCCCCCAGCATAGTGTAAGAAGTCTTACACCATGCCGGTATAATCGATATCCTAGTATTCTTGCTGGTATGGTAGAACCTACAAGAACATTAGTTCCAACCAGTGTAGCTTGTTGGTTCCTATTAGAACTTCAATAATCTCCATTTTTCACCTGCAGTAAATGTAATAAATTTAATATTGTTTTTGTTAAACTGATTTCCTACAATTGTTATTCACTCATTTCGTAGGTAAACCTGGTGTTTTATGTGCTCATCTATGGGGAGGATCGGGTATTAATTCTGCGGGTCGAACGGACAAAGAAGTTGTTGACATCATATTAGATTTATTAGATGGTATGTACGGAAAGAATGATGCTGTCTGTACATTGAACGGTAATAGTGATGACGACAGTAAACAAACAAATAATCGTCGAATCCCGAATCCCGTGTATTATTTAGTTACTCGTTGGTCAGAAGATCCTTTCGCTTTAGGTGCTTATACTACCGGGGAACCAGGATGTTCAGATATTGATAGGTCAATTTATGCAAAAAGTTTAACAGGTTTGGATGCAAGAAATCAACTAGATTTTGGATTGAAAGTTGAACCAAATGGTGATGCCGGTGTTGTTGACAGTAAACCCGATCATGAGTTGAGGTATCCACGACTTTTGTTTGCTGGTGAGGGTACTCTCACATCTAATGAGGCTAAGGTAAGTGAAGCATGTCGTGTAGTTGTTTAGTAGTTGTTCCGAAGGTAAAATCCCAAGACCACTAGTGCTGTTGAGTAACTATATTATCTGCCATATGACACCAATCTTTCTGTTTGAAGTGATATAGCGTGAGAATAAAATACGTGATCTTTGCTGGTTATCTAAAGTGTCCGTATTCTTGAAAGTATAATGGACTTTGTTTTCAGTATATCTATATGCGCATCAGACCAAGCTTTTAATAATTTTTGTATTTCAACAGGTAATACACTATATCCTCATACTGGCAGAATTCGGACAACAGGCAGGTCTAGCCAGAACATTAGGAAGCCTCACTCTTAATATCTGGTGCATTTCGGAGACCCACATCCAAGATTCCATTGAAGTGTTTCGAATATCTCCACTTGGAAGTTCGTTTGGTGCGTACCACCTGCGCTTATTCGGACACCCTGTAGCGTTGGCATCCGGCTTAGCTGGTGTCAGTGTTGCACTAAGCGCTAGAGCTGAAGCTGCATTAACATAATTTATGTACTTTGAAGCTAGGTTATACGAAAGTAAGAAGCGATCGGTCAGAGAGACGGTGCGTATTCATCCCCTCTGCATATGCACTAACGGACTACAGCCATGATGCAATTAAGAGTGAGTTTTATCACCTCACACTATCTCCTGCATGTTACGCTCGGACGCCCAACTCGTCATTTACCGTTCTGGTTCCAGTTGAGGGTCTATCTGGCTTGCGTTATCACTCAACGGTTTCCTCAGAGTGTGTCTGATCCATCTCCTTTTCCTTCGGCATAATTGTTGGGCAGTAGGTTGTTGATTGATTCGTTCCCTGGAGTTCCCTGTTGCTTATCCTTTGTGGTCATCTGATCTTCAGTATGAAGCGAGGGCAGCTGTTGATAAAAGTATGTGGCCTTTTGGTGATGCGCCATTTCTGTGAGCCGTATGAGAAACAAGGACTTGACGTTATCGTTGAAATTCCAGTTCTTGTCCTTTATGCTGACTGAAACAGATTTCCACACTGGCTTTAGATTAATGGAGGTCTGTCGTGCTTTTCTGGTCCAGTTTGGATTGACGTCCTCATCTGTATACCACTTGTAGTTTAAACGTTGTTGTCTAGATAAGTGAAAGAGATAACTTCCTTCAGATTTCTCCCGTTAATGACGATTCGTGCTTGTTGTTGGTTAGGTATCTTCTTCACCTCCATCTTCTTTATATTCACTTGAAGTGGTGTCTTTGCTGCCTCTTTTACCAGCTTGTTGGTTTTCGCCTGTAGGTCTTTGATTTTGTGTGACACTATATAAGGTTAATTCTGGAATTCCAAATCTTCTAGAGTTTCCTTGTCGGCTCAACGTATTCCCACAGTTTACCGCACGATCCAGTGCGCACCATTATCAGAAATACCATCGAGGATGGTAGTTAGCTTTTGTCTTACTGCCATCTTCACTTCATTGGCTTTACTAAGTTTTGTGTTGTGAATCACTTGACATTTGGGGTCTTCACAAAGCTGTTGAGTTATGTTGAAAAGGGTTTGAGGCATTCCATGGTGTTGAAACAGTTTCCAAATTGCCTCACAGTCAACGCTGTTAAAGGTCTTTGTAAAGTCTATGAACTGGATGCAAAGAGCTGTCTGTTATCGTATGCTTTGTTCAATAGTGATGCTTACCGTTGAGTTTTCATTCCTAGCCATTACTCTAATCGTGAATGCACATAGAGAACTAGTTTAGGTGGGATATCCAGTGATTTGTTTTTCAATGGTTGTATGACTTATTCCATTTCATGAAGAAGTTCACTCTGAACTAGTTTTTATTCCAACAAAATGATACAGGAAATCTAAAATAATATCACTTGTGAGCTGGTGAATGCTCTCGGTGTTTATCATCTTTGTACAGAAAACAGTAGAATTTATTAGCCATACAAAAATTCATATACATGACTGTGTATGGAGCTAGCAGGATGGTACAGACACTGTATATCTGCAGGCGTAGATTTGAGCAGTTAGTCCAATGAATTATTTCTCTTTTAAACCCTATCTACGTATACATTAAGTGCGTCGGGGGTTCAGCGGTAGAACGCTCACCAATCACGCACGTGATCTGGGGTTTGATCCTTGGCCGACGCACTCCTAAAACGTCGCCAAGCCAGTAGTAAGGACGTTAAAAAAGGAGGGTTGAGCGTGTGAGGCTAGCAACCCCACTCCACAAAAATAACCACTCACCGCTACCGAAACTTCAAAGCTGTAGCTTGAAGCCCTATATTCCACTCAGAATGTAAAGGAGTTAAAATTACTAAGATACTTCTTAATACGATATAATCAACTGCACTCTGTATAAAATGTTTGTCCAGAATTGTTAATGTAAATCAATGCACTCCGTCATTAGAATATATTTTTTATCTACAATTTTAAAGAAAAATTAACACTTTTACCGTTTTGAACTAGTATCAGTAGATTGTGTTACAGGGGGAAGAAAATGTTATACGAGTTATTAAAGCCTCAGTTCACTCATCACTTATCAGAAATGGCCTGCTTTTTGTTCTAGTTGCATCCAATACTGTACAGTTGTAATGAAGTTCTACACACACACACACACGCGCATACAACTTGACTTTCGTATTTATATAAATTATGGATAAATAAGTTAACTGATGTTATTTATTTGTTTTCAAGAGTTTGGTTTGTAAGGGTTCGATTTGTTTATACGAGTTTGACCACGGATTGATATCAGTTATTGTTTGTTTGTTTGTTTGTTTGTTGTCTCCTATTAATTAGGAATGTACACACGGAGCTTTACAGACGGGAATCGCACGAGCTATTCAATTACTTCCTTATCTTATGAAATCAAAATGTACTATACCTGATCCATATGTGATACGTGATTTAGAAATTTTAGAGTCTTATTCAGAATCAAATTTCTCTAGTTTCAGTACAAAACTTGCTAGTTATCTTGTTGGTAAAGTACAATTGAATCGATTATTAAATTGTAATATAGCTAATGGTAAGCAATTTCGTCGTGTAATTTTAACACGTTCAACTGAACAACCTTTAAAATATTCGCCTAATAATAATAATAATCAACCATTATCAGATAGTGATTATTTAATAAATTCATCGAAATCATCAGCTTATGGACAACGTCGACGTTATCATAATTCATCGAAATCTTATTGGGCTATAGATGATGGAACTTCTTGTAAATGTTGTACATATCCTAGTGTTAAACGTGCACGTGTTGAATTTAGACGAGGGAGAAAAAGTAGAAGAGTTTCTTATGTTCGTGAAGAATCTTATACACCACAACCAGATACTCCAGTAATTAAAGCTCAACGTGGAAGACTTCCAAGGAGAGGTGGTCGTGTTGGTTTATGTGTAATTTCTAGAGCTCATGTAAGTCATTTCAAACCTTGTTTTCTTATTCTCTTTATATATATATATATATATATATATATATATATATATATATATATATATATATATACATGATTTATTTATATTCTTAAATATTGTTATATTTCTTTCCCTATTGGAAAGGAAGCTAGTTTATAAATTGTTCAAAATCTCCCCCATAGACACAATTTCACCTCTTTAATATTACAAAGCGTAACCTTGAATCTGGTATTTCTATTTATCTATTACTTATTTGCATTTCTCTTGATTTTCTAGTCAATTTTCATGTTTTCTTCTTTCAGGGGTATTTCAGAGGAGGCAGGCGTAGTAGACAGTATGTCATGACTAGCAGCACTACAGGTGATACATCTCTATCATATCAACGAGCTAATTCCACTTCAAGAGGTCGGCGAGGTAGACCAAGAAAGCGTCCGCTTCCTCCTCCTCCTCCTACTTATGAAACAACTGGTACAAGCTGGAATGATGTACTGACTGAAGAAGATAGAGAAGAAACACTGTTTCAGTTGACCAATTTACTCAATGAATTCCATTCTTCACAGAAATCAAAGGATGCTTGTGTAACATCACCTGAAAAAGAATTAGTTTCAAGTCCTCACAATAGTCTTGTCAACGGTGATTATTCTTCAAAAGAAGAACTTATTGTTACTAAAAAGGAGGATATTCAATATCCCCTTGTTGTAAGTTCACTGAATGTTTATTTATCAATCCTTGTAAGAATTTGCATGTGATATCGGAAAGTGCTACAAGGTGTCTGTGTGGTATCTAGCATCTGCTAGGTGACGACCTACAGCTGTATATTCAACATAGCACTATGTAGCATAAATTATAAATTTCTGATCGATCAAACCTTGATGAAAGCTCAGGTTAAAAAAAACTTTTTGGTATCCTGGGCTATAGCTGCTACCTTGGCGTGATGCTCAGTTTATCACAGTACGTTCTACTATTCTAGAAAAGCCGAGTGGATTGCGATAAGAACAAACGCGGTTACTCTCATAGTTTGGAGCCTTGAAGCAGAGATCGTAGTGCTGACAGAAAAGACATGGTATTAGTAAAGCGTTTGTTTTGGTTAACAGACAGGGTATCTATATTATTGTCATTCTATAGGACTACTGGTCACTAAACTTGCATATCTCCACTTACCTTACAATAGTCAGTACCAGCGGACAGCGTTTTTGTGTGAGTAGGACTGCAGAAGCCTCGTCACTTCTGGATAGGCCTTGTGTGGCAGCTGTACAAAAGTAAATCTCTTTGCTTCCCAGGACTTGAAGGAAAAAACTGTAGTTAGTGGGAAAGTACTAATAGGACACACACACATACATACATACATCTTTTAGCGTACAAAACACATCTGTTTGTCATCTACTCTATTGAAATAGACTGCATACTTTAGGTTAGGAGAAGTCTGTCACTCAGTGGGCTAATGAATCTCTACAAACTAGTGTTTTGTAAGTATGTCTTTGGTGTCCCGAGTCGCGTCTCCTCCCCAGGCTGATAAGAATTTTCAGTTAATGTAGGATGAGTCTGTCCTACTGTTTTATGACTGTTTTCACCTGCCGGGACCTGATGGATTGACTCCAGAGGTATTTAAGTACGGTGAAGACAGTTTACTGTCTGCGTTAACTGAGGTTCTAGGCAGCGTCTGGGAATCAGAGGAGGTCCCATCGGGTTGGTGTAAGTCACTGATCATCCCGATATACAAGAAGGGAGACAAGTCTTCTTGTGATAATCACAGAGGGATTAGCTTGACTAATATAGTATCTAAAATCCTAGGCTCAATAATACTGCGTAGACTAAGTGATGCTCGGGAGACACAAACACGAGAAAACCAGGCAGGTTTTAGGCCAGGTAGAGGGTGTATTGATCATATCTTCACCCTTCGACAGATTCTAGAACATAGGCATTCCTACCGGCGTCCGACAATCATTATTTTTCTTGACCTAAAGGCGTCATTCGATTCTGTCGACCGAGAGATTCTCTGGCGATGCTTGGCTGTAAAGGGAATGCCGAGAAAATACATTGCACTGATCAAGCCACTCACTCTACTCGTACTCATGCAGCCAGGTGAGGGCTTATGGCGAGTTGTCATCTGAAGTGGTGACGACTAGTGGCGTCCGTCAAGGATGCCCATTATCCCCATTCCTATTCAACTTCATCATAGACGTACTAATGGACTTAACCCTTACACACTTCAGCGACTCAGGGATTGACTTGCTACCAGGGAATAATCTCGTCGACTTAGAATATGCGGACGATATAGTCCTTCTAGGCGAGGACTCTGACAAAATGCAGAGTCTACTGAACACCTTGAACAACAATCTTCGTATGTTTGGCATGCGATTCGCCCCTGTAAAATGTAAGATGATGCTGCAGGATTGGACTTCACCGACCCCTAGATTAGAAATAGGAAGTGAAGTGGTAGAGCACGTTGACCACTTCACTTACTTGGGAAGTACCATCAGCCCCAACGGGTTGATCTCAGACGAAATCTCAGCACGAATACAGAGGGCTAGTTTCGCATATGCCAGTTTACGCCGTCTCTGGCGTAGACGTGATATCCGACTATCGACCAAAGGGCGTGTGTACTGCTCAACAGTCCGCTCCGTCCTCCTTTATGGCTGTGAGACCTGGCCATTGAGAGCAGAAGACATGAAAAGATTAGCTGTCTTCGATCATAGGTGTCTGCGTTCTATCTCCCGCGTGAAGTGGTATAATAAGGTGAGCAATATTGAGGTTAGGCGTCGAGTGCTAGGTAAGGCGGGGAAATCAGTCGACGAAACTGTGAAATTACATCGACTGAGATGGTTAGGACATGTGTTACGTATGCCTAGTCATCGCCTTCCTCGATGGGCAATGTTAGCTGATATAGGGCCAGGCTGGAAAAGAGCTAGCGGCGGTCAAATGAAAACATGGCACCAGTCAATGAAATCCACAACAGTTAGTCTAAGCCACGTAGGAAGGTGTAGACTGGCTTCCTGGTTGGGGTCCTCGGGACGGTAAAAACCAATGGTTGGAAACAATTGGTGACATGGCTCAAAATCGTTCTCAGTGGCGCAGATGCATCCACTCCTTGTGACTTATGATTTCCAATGAAACTGTTTTGTTCTTCGTTATTACTATTCCTTTGTCTCACACCTCTGTTTACTGTCTTTATTATGCATTTCTCCTACTTTCTTCTCTTGCTTTGTGTGCTACATGGAGGGAGTGTGGCGACTTGAACTGCCTCACATATGTGCAAAGTTCTATGTCGAAAAATCGACCGACCGACTGTTTTTCACAGATTGTCAAACTTGTTATTAAGAGTTATTAGGAGTAACAATCAGATATCGTATAGCAACATTTTGTTCAACAGGAATATTTCACTGGTCAGAGTGATTTCAGTTGAAAATCCCACTTCTATCTGTTTTCAAAAACTCAGTGTATACCTGTCATGACCATCTGAAGTGGTGTAGTCCAGAGGAGATACTTGATGGGAGCGAAATTTTTGTATCACTTCAGTTTATTTCTGCTCGATTTAACTCCTATGAATGCAGCTGGATTATTTATATGAATCTCTCTGTATTCTTAAGTGTGTTGATCGAAATCCATCAGTCGAAAAACCTACGTTATATATGGGATCAGGGAACTTCACCACTAGTGTACACTCGCAGTGCATTCATTTTAACATCTAAAATACCTCTTGTTTGGTTTTCATCCATATATGGGTGGAGTTGTGGCTCATTGGTTTTAGTCCGTCTACTTCCAACTACTGAATCACAGATTCGAGTCCCATTACACTGATCAAGGTTTAAACAGCCTCGAACACCAAGTGCATAGAAATATAAGTGGTTATTATTGAGTAGCATCCTTGTTTTCCAAATATGTTATTTTTATATTGATTATGTATTACTAAGTGTTAATGTGCGTCGGTGGTTCAGTAGTAGAGTGAGTACTGGCCGACCATGCACGTGGTGCGCGGTCCCATTGCCGGCCGGCGCACACCTTCACTTCCCTTAGCCGGTTATGATCTCGACAAAGAGGGGAGGTTGTGCGTGGGGCTAGCAACCCCCTTGTTCCACTGGGAATGCAGAGGAATAGAAAAATATTAATGTCTCGCATAGCGTTGAAATTAAACATATTTTGACATAAAGTCAACCTATTCATCCATATATCAATCAATGCATTGTTTCTTCTACGTATGTTTTTTTCTTTCTTATTTCTGTTTCTAGGATCTACCGGTGCAGGAGAATGTCAATGGTATACACAATAGTGCAAATGTTGTGGATGAGTGTGCGCGCAGATAGTATTACAATTGTCAATAAAACACTAGAATATTTCTTAACGCCATTGTTATTAGTATTATTACTATTCTTATTGTTACTTTCTAGTTGCTGTTTTATAAACAATTTTTGTTACCGTTATTATTATTATAGTTCCTTTTTTTATCGATTTTTTGCACTTTATATTATTCTCAGGTTTTCCATTTTGTCGCTTTTATACATCTCGCTGTCTCTCACTCCCCATCTCTTTGCACACGCGTGTTTGGTTCGGCACATTTGTACATTCACTCAACTGAAAACATGAAAAATATAAACCATAATCACAAAACTAATAAAAAGAAAGAAAAAAACAAAGAAAAGATATATCCATATAGTATTTATTATATATCCATGTGCATTATCAGTAGATTTCTGTTAAAGATTTTGTATTTTATTATATTTGCTCAAGTGTATTACCATTGTTTATTATTATTATTATATATATTCGAGATTACATATTAACTGAAAGACGTCTTGTTTTGAAATTAATGACAGTTGTAGTGGTGGTGGATAGCGTGGTGTACGAGGGAAATAAACTAATAAGGGCTTCAGATTAGCAGTCTAGTCTTAATCGATGGAATAACAATCAGTAGCTGAAATTAGTGTAATTTATGAGATTTTATGACAATATTGTTACGCTTGTCGGCCTATTGTACGCGTGTTTAAAGATTCCCGTAGTAATTCAAAACATATTCTCCGCGTCCATGTATGTTTCAATTGGAATATAAGGCTTTGAAATCGCAGTAGAGGCCATTGTTGCTGTCGCCGTCTTTACCAGTAGAGTTTGCTAGTCTCACACTCAGTAACCGCAAAACTATTTGTATACCAGAAATACTAGCATGATGAACAGATTAGGATGAGGTTGGAATTGAAGAATGGAATGGTTGGCGATTTAAGTGTACTGACAGGAGTGGGTTTATAACTTTCAATACAAAAGGGAGCAAGATGCGAAGTTAAACACTACTGACTACAGGAAACCCACATATTCAAACCAATATTTGGAATTCGGTTGATCCAATCTCACTCCACTTTTGTGCGTCGGTGGCATAGTGGTTAGGATGCTCGCCGACCATGCACATGGTCCGGGGTTCGATCCCCGGCCACCGACGCACTCCTTTACCAGTAGTAATACTGGTAAAGGGGAAAGGTTTGGCATAAGGCTAGCAACCTCATCCTGTAAAAATAAACACTGCTAAAGAAACTTCAAGCCTCTAGCTTGAAGCCCTATCTTCCACTGGGAACGTGAAGGAATAAAAGAAATCTCATTTCGATATAAGTAGGATTAGTCAACTGTTTAAGTAGTAGAGCTAAAAACTAAGCAGCACCCATGAAAATGTATGGTAGGAAGTAGGACATATATATATATATATATATATGTGAAACTTTAGGTAAAATTCTTAACAATGGGCATTCAAATCAATAAAGTCATCTGAAAACAAATTATTTCCGTTGTATCATCTTGTGGTGCCCATTAAGAGCAAGACAGTCTAGTATATCTGATACGCTGCGATGAATGTGAAGTCGACTACATAGACCAAATTACTGGGATGGGTTTGGTGCAGTGCAAAATCCTAGCAGAATAGTAGATTAGTTGACCTTCATAAGTTCAAAGGCCATTGAACTCCGACAAAGATTAATATTAACATGAAAGCCTTGGGTCATTGGAGTCTCAGTCTGTGAGTAAACATCTGTCCAGTAGTTCCTGGCTTTCCATAGTTCTCTAACTGTTGCTGGTTTGTGATGAAATTCAAGTTGATTTGCACAAATATTTGTATTAGTGCTAATGGTTATACACGGTCCCCAAATGCATCGTCATTTTGAGCTATTGAATTGTTTTTTGACTCCTGAATTTCTGGTCTATAGTACTTGGTATTGAGTGGTCTCGCTTTTCACCTTTCTGATCTGACTATGTCTGATAACTACGTGTGCCCGGTTACCTATCATCACTGCAAGTTTATTTGAACCCAATGGCGTGCTATGTGAAGAATTCTGAAATTTTGGGACCATATGGCTATTTAGTGTGTCGTTGTCGTGAAAAGTTGACTTCACCCACTTGACTATTTCTTGCTTCCGTACTGTTTACCTCTAAGTGAAAACTGTATTTTCACTTCAACATAAGGTGTAACAGATTATCCTGTTTTGTAACTTCAGATGATATCTATTTTGTATGAGGCTTTTAGTCTAGTTATTCGAATACATCTTGCCATTCTCCCTAATTGTTGTATGTTTTTAATGTAGTTAGATTATATTGTGTGGTGCAAATTTTATTGCTGACACTATATCGAGTCGGTACTGAAGGTAAACAGTCATCTCTTGTAAAAAAGAGAGACTATGGAGATCACTACTGTTTTCTTTTCAAGGCTAACATTTGACTTTCCGCAGCTAGAGAGTCATTTGACTTTGAAGTCACTTTCACTGTGAGTTAACATCCAATAGAGAACTGTTAAAGGTTTAGTAGTCTTTCCGCTCCAATGGTACACATTCATAATCGAATCTAACGCAATCATGTCATCCACTGAGCGGGTTGTCGCTTAACTTTTAGATTTTAAACTTTATTCTGTTCATATAACCACGTTGCGTCATCCATATTTGGGTTCAATTAAGAGACAAATAGGTGGTCAGATGGTCTTTCTATTTTGTCCAATCTTGGCGAAACAAGTTAATCGTCGCCCGAATTATCTGGATGTCTGTTGGCGTTATGTAGATGATGCGTTTTTAATTCTAAGGGAAAAAAGTAATACACTTTGGACAAGTTGAACAAAGCCTATTTAGTTGTGATTTTCTGCTAAAACACGAAGAATAGAATGACCTGTTTTCACATGTTCTAGTGAAAAAACGAACAGTTGGGACAATAAGTGGAAGCTTACACCAAAAACCAACATTAACTGAGAACTATAATCACTTTGCAAGTATACAATACAAACAAAATCTGATCAAGTGTTTATTTAGTTCACCACGAAAGAGCTAATTCTTCGAAGAAAAACAATTAACAAAGAAATCGGTTACTTTCGTGATCTACTAAGTAGGAACGGAAATTCAATGAAATGTTTGCAAAGATATAATAATTTTAACTGATTAGTGAACAAAGAATATTCTTTTCGATAACGTCATTATCAGGTTCTTACAGTTACACAATAGTGAATGAATTAGTGTTAATAACAACATTAATGTTGTTTAAATAACATCGAATCAATGACAAAAATAATATCAATGGATTACAGTTCTATAGCATCAACAAAACGATACACTAAATATCAGGAAAATTAGGAAAGATAATAATAACAACAATAATAATACAAGTTCATGAATTTACAGTCTCCACTGAAGGCCAGGGCAGTAGTAGTGGCTAGACTAGCGTCTTTTGCACACTGGTTGCTTCACGCGAATCACGATAGTCTCTGCTGTTTGGAGTATCCGGTACCTGGATGCATTTGGCAACTTATTTTGTACCCGATAGATAAGGGAGAAAGATTCTTCAATGCTGGCATTGTGGCCAGTTTGGACCAGATGGCCTGTTATCGAACCGTTGATGGCTTTAATTGCACCCTTACTTGCCCACATTGGTAGATGTTCTCGAGAGAGGAAAATCAAGTTCCTAGAGTAGCGGCCGATGCAACTCACTCCACAGTAGCAAGCATGAAAATTAGATTCCCTAACACAAAAAACTTGGAGGATCTGGACTTCGCCGATGATATATGTCTGATTTCCCACAAACTGGAAGATATGCAAGTGAAAAACAACAAGTTGGCAGAAAAAGCATCCAGAGAAGATAGGACTTCAGGTGAACATAGAGAAAACAGAGGTAATGAAGATTCCTGGACAAGAAGAACAACAACAGACAACGATCAGCATAAATGGGAGGAACCTGAAAGAAACAACCTCGGTTACCTACTTGGGAAGCATCGTTTCAACTACAGGCGAACGGAACTGACGAGGATATCAAAGCAAGAATCGGAAAAGCAAGACAAGCTTTCACTACTCTCAAGCCTGTGTGGAGGTCAACAACACTGCTCAGCATCAAAAATAAGATCCGGATTTTCAACTCCAATGTGAAGTCAGTGCTACTATACGGATCAGAGACTTGCACTGCGCGTCATAAAGAGCATCTCAAACAAACTACAGACCCTCACTAACAGTTGTCTTCGCTCAATACTCAAGATCAGATGGCCGGCCAGAAAAGATCAGCAACAGAGATCTCTGGAAGCGAACCAAACAGGAACCAATTGTGAAACAAATAGGCAGGAAGAAATGGAGATGGATTGGCCATACTCTATGGAAACCATCAAGTGACATCACTAGACAAGCCATCGCTCGAGTGGAACCCGAAATGGAAGCGGCGAGTCGGTCGTCAGTGCGAGGGTGGGTGACTTGGAGGAGGTCATGTGAAGGGGAGATGAAAACGTGTGGACAGACTTGGAGCCAGGTGAAGACTCTAGCAGAGAACCGAACGCAATAGAGACGCGCGGCTGAAGCCCTATGTTCCTCTAGGAATTAAAGGAAACAATAATAATACAGCTGTAGTTCATAGGAAGTGTTAACAGTGAAATTGTATGACAACGTATGGGAACAGCCTTCAGAAGGACACTTAACACTACCAGGTTATGGTGTTTATTCTCCAACTAACAAATACTGAGTTTGTAGATTAAAGAAAAGCTGACGAATTTCAGTTAATCCATGTATATTTATCAGCAAAGCTGTTCCTGTGATGCTAGGTAAACTGAGAACTCCATCGCCGAATACCCCTCGATGCAGTTGCTAGATAAAGAACCAACCAAGCTGAGAACTAGCTATATACTAGTTCACATAGTTATTACAAGACACAAGGTTTGGAAAAACGAGGCTTTAATGGCATTTGCGTCATAAAGTATAACCTTTCTCATGCTCTGCGAATCTGACTTTTACTCACAGTGGAATCCATCTGAATATTCCAGATCTGTGGGTTCAAAGAAATTTGTATAGGCGCAGTTTTACCATTGCTGTCCACTTGATATGTAAAGCATCTTGTAGATCACCATCCCACCTATCCTTGCAACTGTCATTTGACATTGCTGTTATTGTTACTCACTATATGAAGAGTGCTAGGAAAGACCAAAGGCGATTTTGCAACACTCTGACAACTGGGGTTGAACAACCTGCGGTTAAAAAAGATCTCAGAATAGTGTATCAAATAAGGAAGTGCCTATTCAGCAAGAGATCAACAGAGATGAAGTTAGTGAAAGATAATAGAGGGAGAGATAGAACGGTGTGCTGATCGCCTCAAAGGACACATGAACAGATCACCATTTACAACTCGTCCAGAAATACCACCAGCGAAACACTGAACTACCTGTGAACACCAATTCTCTGACAAAGTAAAAGTACTGCGAACCAAAAAGTTACTGAAAACCAGCTGCGAAAGTAGCAGGGCCGGACCTAGAGGTTTGGGAGCACATGCTCTAGCAACTACTTCGGGTGTGAAAGCCAGGTGCCT